GTGAGCATCCCTGTGATGGAGGAGGTGAATGCAGAAGAAGTGAAGAACAATGGAGGCTACCTGATTTCCACGAAATTCGTCTACTGCTGGAAGCATAGGATCGAACGTGGAGGATGGTTTCGGAGAGCACGACTGGTAGCAAGACAGTTCAAATCCAGTGTGGATATGGAGCAAACGTTCGCTCCGACGTCGATGCTCGTGATACCGAAAATGCTCATCAACCTGATGCTGAACGTCTTCAAGCACTTCACCGCCATGACCTTAGACATCAAAGATGCCTTCTTGATGGCGGCGCAACCAGAAGAAGAGAAGGCCTACGTTGAAGTGGATGACAAGATCTACAGGTTGATCAGGTGCTTGCCGGAGCAGCAAAGGAGTTCGGTATGGAGCAAGATGTCATGCAACCCACACTGCTGATGATCCACAAAGTGATATACATCACAGTGCATGTCGACGATGTCTTCATGGTGGGTGATGAAGGAGCTTTGAAGCAGTTTGTGGACTTCCTGAAGGTGAAGAAGAGGTGGAGCATTGAGGAAGGGACCGTTCCTGATGGGAGAAAGATTCTCCTACTTGAAGAGAAATTTCACGCTCTACAGGAACTGGTGCGACATCAGATGTGACTACAAACAATATGAAAGCTTGAGCAAAGAGATGGACCTCTTCAAGAAAGCATACAGAAAGACGCCTCTGGAGCAAAACCACAGTAAGAGGGATGAAAGCGAGGAGCTTCAGGGAGCAGAGGTGACAAGGTACAGAAGTGTTGTTGGGAGATTGATGTACCTTGCTGGCGAACGTCCTGATGCACAGTTCGCCATCCAGAACTTGGCACGCTTCATGGCTCGACCCACAAAGCAGGCATGGAACAAAGCATGGCACGTCTGCTCATACCTCCAGGGCACAGAAGGATATGGAGTGAGAGTTTCAGCAAGAGCAAAAGGTCCGTCAGTGATGAACGTCAAGAACTCAGATGAGGTGGAGAGCAAAGAGCAGCATCTATTGGAGGTGGTGACAGATGCTGACTATGCAGGAGATCGAAACGATCGTCGAAGCACAACATCCTTCCAGGTGTTCATTGATGGCAACCTGATGAATCGAGGGTCAGAGCACAGAAAGCAATATCCCTGTCCTCTGGGGAGTCGGAATTTGTGGCGGTGGTTGCAGGATCCTCAGACGGGTTGCTCATCAAGCATCTATGGGAGAAGGTCACAGAGGAAAAGTGTGAGATGAAGGTGAGGAGCGACAGCTCGGCTGCAAGGGCAATGGTGCAGAGGCAAGGCATAGGACGAGTGTGCCATCTCGATGCCTCATTGCTCTGGGTGTAGCAGAAGGAAAAGGAAAAGGTCTTAATTCCGACAGAGCTCAATTGTGCCGACCTGGGCACAAAGGCTTTGATTCTATTCTCCTGAAACTTGGTGGTTTCGTGGGACTTGGTGTCTTCATGTGACGCTTTCCTCGGCTAAGCTTATCGCCACACTTGGATATGGATTGGATCAGACTGCATCACGCTATGCGTAATTCAAAGTTTTAGAAACAATGAATTTAAACCAGGCCCGTTCAACAAACGTTAAGCGCAAACAAGAACCTCCGTCTGCGGCGCGCCCGTGTTTTTTTTTTTTTTTTTTTTTCGGGCTGGCGGGTTTATGTGTGTCCTTGCGCATTCAAACCATTTGGAAGAAACTTTGAGTTTTCTTCTTTGAAGGGGAAGAGTTTAAACTAAATGACGTGTGACAAGTCTCATGTGAGCATTAAAATTTACTGAGCCCTGCTTTTTCACTCATGTGACAAGTCTCCAAGCCCGATGTGTGAAGAACTTCGGATGCAAGCTCCGCAGGTCCATTTTCGGTAGGGGTTGGAGCAGGTGTGCCTTTCATTTTGTCCAGTTTCCATGCCGCCTCGAAAGCGGCCTGCTGCTTTGCGCCGACCAGCGGCTTCCAAAGTAGCGCGCAAGCCGGCAATTGTGGATGATGTGATGTTGGCGAGCGACAGCGAAGTTGAAAATGTCCAAGAACGCAAGACACTTGCAGTCTTATCTGCATTTTCCCTTATTTTCTGGTGTGTTTCGGGTCAGTAATGCAATTTTTAAGTTTTCAAAAGCTCATAAAGACCCAAATCCAGAATCCTAGACGCATTCCCGGTTTCCAACCCATCATGTTGTTGGCTCAGGAGTGTCATCGACCCGGATATCTTTCCTAGTTCTTGTGACGAGGAGGAAGTCGAGAAGAACAATGACAAGCAGGACATCCCTGACATGGAAGCTGTTGGGGCAGCCTGGTTTAGAAGAGCAGCTCTTTTCAAAGGAGTGCCGGTTTGCAAATGATTTTGTATGATACATATGTGTATATAAAAATATATATTAATATATATATATATGTATTGCTCATCAAAAACTAATCTTTGGACAAAAGGCATGCAAACCTTTGTGAGTTGCCTGACGGCCTGAGGTAGGCAACTTCATCAAGTTCGCCTTGGACAAAGAACCAGAAGTGGCACAGCGGATCCAGAATGCGCTTGCAGGGCGCCATACAACGGTCGGTTCAATATGTTCAGGGTGGGGGGTAGGCGAAATGGTCATCAACTCGCTCAACGACTACTTGGGCGAGAAGTTTGAACACAAGGCCCCATTTAGGGTGTTAGACATTTTCCGAATATAGAAACACAGGATTGTCAGTGTTTTTGTTTTTGTATTGATAGATGATTTACAAAAATCAAATCCTGTCCCTTCAGGCTGGATACCTGACTATGAGCTTCAGCTGCGAGTGTGAGCCTTTCAAAGTGGATTGGCTACTCAAGGCGTTTGAAGATATTCCAGTTTTCAACGACATGATGGATCTACACAAGGGCCAAGCTTTCGATGAGCGAACCAAGACTTCTAAGAGAGTTCCGAAGGCTTGGGAAAGTGAAGAATGCGATGTTATATACAACTGGCGGTACACACACGCACACCCCGACATACCCATACAGATTCACGATTCGAACCCCAGTTTTGGTAGTATGTTTTCAAGTGCCAAACTCCGTAGTCACATGAATGCAGTCCACAGCCAGCAGGTCAATGTGGTTGTGGATGGCTATTCCTGCAAAAGCTTGTCGAAGCAGAACAACAGTGCCCAAAGCTTTTTGGATCAGGAATCCAAAAGCGGTCAGGGCTTCAAGGCGTTGTTGGACTACATCGATTTCGCACACCCACAGGTTGTTGTGTGCGAGAACGTGTCTACCATGGCCCACACGCGGCAAAGCTTTGGTGGAGAGAAACCCATTGCCATCCAGAACCAGGAGATGGACCGACGAGGCTACACTGTCTTTCATGACACTGTCAACAGCAAAGACTTCGGTTTGAGGCAATGCCGCACAAGGGTGTACTCAATCTACATCAAACGACATCAAGTCGATGCAAATGCGTTTCTAGAATGCATAATCATATACTGTAATAGTGTTCATTTTCATTTGCACTAAGGCCCAAACTTCTTCATAGCCCCTCGAACTCCCCACCTATTATCCTGTTTGAGTGTTTAGGGATAGTTGGTGAGTTGCGCCAATCATTGTGACTAAGGCTTCCTGGAGATTTCCTGGGCAAGTTCAAGTGTGGCTTGCTGCCGAAGCCAATGTTCTTGAATCACCAAGCCGGTGCAAGCGCTGCCTCTGGGGAGCTCAAGCAAACCAAGAAGCGCAAGTCTGAGGGTCTCAAGTGGAAGAAAGGCTTCAAGGAAGCTTGCAAAACTATCGGTGAAGTTTCTCAGTCAATGAAACAAAAAGCAAATCGTTGGTTTTGCTTGCAAATTGTGGGGGCCTCTAATTGAAAGAAGGGAAAACCACAGTAGAGGTAGTCGGTGCTGCAAGTTACACTACCCTCATGTGAGGCTGATGTCATGGCGAACATGGACAAGCTCAAGGTCAAGGATCTTCCGCTCACTGATCGAGAGCTGGCCATTTTGTCTGTGGCTGTCACGGAACTGCAGGCAGCCGGCTATTTTCCGTTTGAGGAGATGTTCATGATCCAGGTTGACACTTGTCTTTGCACATCAAATTTCCATATTAGTTCACCTATATAATATGTATTATGATACGACTGATTCAGAATCTTGGGTGTTTCAACCGCTCCTGCAATTAGTAAGGATCAGAACTTCCATCGCGCGACATGGACGAAGAGCGATCCTGATTTGTGCCCATGCTTGCTGCCGGCTGGTAAATACATGGTCACATCTCGATGGACACTCTTGCAGTCGCAGGACATGGCCTGTCAAAAATTTGGTCAAGCATGTGCGGAATGTTTGTTGTGTTAGGCGTGAGTATTAGTTAGATCTAAGCCCAGGGTTCCTCGTCCAGGAAAAGATGAAGCTGCAAGGTGTCGGCAGAGATGAGTTTCAACGCTACGGCATGGGCCGCATCGCACCCAAGCAGTTGGCAGACTTTTGCGGCAATTCGCACATTGGCTGCAAAAAGGAAAATCCTAATATAGAATGATCATTTTCAAACCATAATGACCAGGTAGTTTCTTTGGCCAGGTGGCGCTCGCTTGTTTTGTTTCAACACAGACCCAGTTGCCAAAACATTGCTTGGCCTCTCAAGGTTCTCTGCGCCAGTCATTGCCGGAGCTTTGTGCTCTGCTCTTGCAAGTTGGCGGGGACACAGCTGAGTCTGAGGTGAGTGCCTGGGAACCTTTTTGGTGCATTATATTCTTTTGCCGGTCAAATGCAGCAAGCTGCAACTTTCAGGGATGTTACTAGCTGTGCCATTTGTTGTAATCACAACTGATGGCCATGCAATTCAACCAGCTTGATTTGACTGAACGGCCGCAGAAAGTGAGTCCTGCTTCGTTTTCATCCGCTCTTTGTTACCATCCGATAGTTTAACATTATTCAAAGCTGAGGCGCTGTGGCGTTCAATGTGTCAAACTTTATTCTCAGTGTTTGGACGCAAGCAACTTGTATTGTGTAATCATTGTAGCCGGCATCCATTTAGGTTCGGTGCATTTTTGTTTGCAGCCCGAGCCTGATCAGACCATGCCGCCTCGTAAGAAGGCAAAGGTTGCCCAGATCGTGTCAGGGTCACAAACCACAGCTGTTCCAACCAGTTCGGCATCCGCACCAGCTCTGATCAAATCAACTCTCTCGATTGTGGAGGGAATCTATGCTTTGCGCCACTCAGAGGAGAAGGATATCCACACGAGCAACATTGGTGACTTGGCTGTGAAAGATGGAATCTATCCATGGCCTGTGAAGCATGGTGGTACTTTTCGAGATGTTGCGCAAAGAGCGTGGGCTGACAGCGATTTGCTTGTGGAGCAGTCCGCTCAATTGGCTCACAGGGTTGGCCTCACGAATTCTACAGATGCCGCAGAGTTCTTGCAAGAGTTTTGCAAGATGGAGGCTCTGTTTGTCATTAGTTGTTCGCCTTGCTTTCGTTGCGCATGTCAAGGGTAGAGAAGGTTGACTAACAACAAAAATAGTAATTGCGACAAGCTCACTAGGTTCGCTTCACGACCAGTCTACTTTGCTTCAGGCCTGGCCTCCGGAGAAAGGTGCGCAGTTCGATACCTCCATTTTGTGTTGGTCGTTCGACGATGCATCGTTCTGGAGAGGGAGAGCAGTGGCGATGTCAGAAATCATCAACTATGCTCGAAGCATTGCCTCCACACGATTTCGAGAGGCGCGCAGCTAATTGGGATGACAGCCAAGTATATGGCCCAACAAAACGCAAAATGCTACGACCAGTCTTTTTAAAACAAAGAAAGTCTTTTTGCCCAAACAAGCCCCAGAGCCTGTGAAGTCTTTAGCCAGTACTAATGAGCTCGGTGTGATCGACCATTGCCGGGGGTCCTTCCAATCATGTTCTTGGCCCAAGCGTGGGTTCTTCTTTTTCAGTAGATGAAAGATATTTTTAAACTTAATCATTGGAATAGATGATAGTAAGTGCGAAACTCGCAAAAAATGACATGGGGCGGGGAGATGGCCATGGCCGAGCTTCCCTGTCCAAGCTCCTTTGTCGCCCATGCAGATGCCTTGCCCGAGTGTGCTTTCAACAATTCAAAGGGTTAGAGCAAGAAGTTGAACAAGCCAGAGCAGACTTTAATTCACTTCCTCGAGAGAAAAAGGACACTTGGAACTCTTTTCAGAGCGGAGGGTAATCAAGAAATTAATTGCTGAACTTTGTTTTTCAAGTCTAGATGTGTTTTCGAAATTGTAGTACCAAGCAGCCTTCGTTTCAATTTGACTTGAGCGAAGTCAGGAAGTTTGGGTGACACAAGCTTTCAATTGCACAGAGGCCCGAGATTGGGAGAAAGCACCAGGGACTTCAAACAATGAGGACAATGAACTCCTGTATGAATCCAGTTCCAACGATGGTGATCCAGATGTGTTTTATGCATCGGATGCAGATTGCAGGGACCATGAGAGTGAGATGTTTTATTCTTCCGATGAAGAAGGGCCGCTGCCAGCCGAACCCTCTCAGAAACGTGCGCGATACAATCCTCGCAGACAAGATCCAGTTCTTTTCCTGGGCAAACCTGTTTGTCGCAGAGCCTTGTCCAGCTTGATTGCCATAGGAGGCTCCACGCTCCAAAAACTCAGAGCTGGAGAGAGTGCTTACACGAACAATGTGAGAAAGCCACTACAGAAGCACCCGCAATTTGGCTTCTCCTTGAGAGGCGACACTGGAATGGTGTGGGAAGAAATTGTGATGTTCTTCTTCCACTTGTACCACAGCGCAGCTGAAGTCATGCCCACCAATTGGCATTCGATCAAAGAAGCTGGTTCCCAGGCTTTTGAAACACCATTTCCAGAAGATGATGCGGATGGAGTGGACAAAAGCGAGGACTTGCAGCGGTTGGTCAACGCAATTGGCAGAACACTGAATACATATTTGACGGATGTGGATTGTCAGTTGATAGGTCCGGGCACCTTTCGTGGACCACGAAGGTGTCTCCAGCACGGGTGCCGCGCAGACCTATACTGGGAGTATGTGGCATACGCAGAATTCCGCGGCATCAAACCTGCATCATTAAGTACATTTATGAAAGTTGCCAATACCATCATCAAGCCAGGTTTGCGTGATGGTCATTTGAAATTCAGAAAGGCAGGAGATCACGCACAGTGCGACGCATGCTTTTCGATTAGGGAACGCATTCGAGCTGCCCGTACACCTGATGCAAAGTTGGCCGAGGAAAGAGAGCTGATCCGGCACAGGCTCTCTCAATGGCAAGACCGTCAAGCCTATTGGTCATTCCGGTCGATGAGCCAAACCTTCTTTTCGCAATTGCTGGCAAGTGATGGTCGGTCACTTTGACTTGCCGCCAGAATGATGCGTTTTCCTTTGTTTCATTTGGGTTGGTTGACAAATAGTGCTTTGAATTTGTTGATTGGAAGAGCTCGGTTGTGACTTGGGCTTAGAGCCTGAGGCTGGGGTGCCATGCTGGGGTGAGCACATTGTGCTTGATCAGCGACGGAATGGACCAAGCGAAATTTAGGACTCCAAGATCCCGCAAGAAACAAACCAAACTGTATGCCACTATGCATCGACCATGTTTGCATGTCGCAGCAACTTGGGCGCACGGATGGGGCCTGAATCTTGCGATAGCAGATGAGGACTTAAAGAAAAACTCAGAGTGCACCATTGAGCAGGTAGCCAGGACGTTTGACGAGATTATTCAGCAGCACGGCCATTTGCCCACGGGTGTGAACCTGCAGGCCGACAACACGTATAGGGAAGCAAAGAATCAATTTGTGGCCTCCTTTGCCATTTTGACCATTGCCCTTGGCTGTTTCCGATTTTTCACCATGTCATTTTTGCGCAAGGGTCATAGCAGCTCTATCTCACTACCAAATAGCATTTTTGTCTATTTGCATTCAACACCGAAATCAGTCCAAGCTAAATTGTCTGAATAACTCAACCTTCCCTTTGTAGCTTCCACAGTAAATATGTACAAAGCCACCGTTCCAGCCAAGTTAAGGTCACGAGGACATTGACCAGTACTTCTCACAAGTTGCGGCGTATTTGACTCCACATGAGTTCTCCTCCCCTGATGATGTTGTGAGCATATTGGACAGTGCTTCTCGGCCAGACAGCCTACCGGACTTTCATCGCAAGGAAGCCAAATTACAACGAACCCGGGTGCGAACTCAAACATACAAATTAGATGAAGTGGCATGCTGGCAAGAGTGGGTTGCAATGTTGGGCATTCGCCTTCTTGGCTTGAGACACTCAGTGTAGATTGAATCTGTGGGTGCGTCTTTAGTTTTTGTTCTTTTTGAGTTTGATGTATTTAAGCTATGGAGAGGTAGCAGTAGCCCAGTTTTGGACGGCCTGCCTTCTAGCCCTTCCAAAGCTTAAGGACATGTAGGGCAGCTTCGCTTTGCACTTCGGCAAGATGTGGACCCCGCATCATTCGGTCAGTGTAGTGTGGAGGAAATGAGGAATCGAGCTCCACACGGTAGCGACATTCTTTTGCTAGCGAAGAAGTTCATGTCAGATCCAGAGCCCTTTCGAGTGATTTGTTTGGTAGCTGCTGAGAGGTGTGCTATCTTGAGGGCAAGCTTGGTGCAGCCCTCCGGTGTGGCAGATCGCCGGGCCATTGCTGCAAAGCTCCAGCAAAATCTTTTGACGAAGGCACCCCTTTGTCGCAAGCAAGGTTCGATCAGCATAGATGCAGAAGCATACTTGATCGGTTGGGTATCAGGCACCTGGCCTAAAATCCCAAGACCGGCCAGCTATCGTTTCTTGCGTTTGAGACGGACTGAAATCGCAAACGTTCATGTTGGCCCGGCTTGTGCATGGGAGCCTCCACCCAGGTTTCGAGTCTACACCCTTTTGCGGACAGATGCTGAATCGGATGACAATGAAGATGATGATAGTCTCCCTTTGGACTTGGTTGCGCCTTGATCGCTTGCAGCTGGACAATCGTTCATGCTTGTATCAAAAAGGTGTGTGGGGGAGGTGGTAACCGACAGTCGCACCTTTGAAGACTGTCCTTTGCACTGACTAGATTCTCAGTCATTGAAGGCAGCACATTCTTTCGACTACTTTCATTGTGCCACTTCAAAAAGCCAGCGTGCCTAAACCCTAAACGTTTGACCCCCCTTGAAAATTTATCTGCGGCAGCAGGGTTTAGGGCGCTTTGCGACGCAGGACTGTGGATTCAGGTGCATTAATTTAGAAACTTGTAAAGCCACACTGCCGCTATTATAATTATCAATCATGGCTTCGAAGTCGCATGGTACTTCCAGATTTGTCGGATGAAGTCTGAGTCCTCGTTGGTGGACCTTGTGTGAAGCCCGGATTATGGCGAGCCGTCCCGCGGACGGCTCTCCATAATCCCCGGCCCAGGGCATAGACATGTTTCACGATGTCATTGGTCCATGATACAGTCGTATAAACTTGGCGGTCACAACCCTGGCTTTATGGCGAGCGGTCCCTCGGACGGCTCTCCATAACTCGCCCCTTGAAACCCCATGGTTTAAGGCTAGCTCGTGGCTACACGGTCTAAGGGTTCCTGATTTCCTTTCTGGCAGGGGGAGACCATTGCACTTCGGCTTCCTGGACCAGCGCTGAAGCGTGTAAACCTTGCAGTGGGGTCATTGTACTTCAACGATGGGTCGCAAAAGAGCTTGGCAGCGTTTGTGGTTTGGATCTCTCTACTTTTGGCAAGTCAGCAAGATTCTCTGTCTGAGGAGGATTTCACGCACCCACAAGTTGTTGCCTTGGTTGCATCGTTGCTCCAAATCAGGACCATCTACAAAGCTAGCACCGCTGGATGCGATGAGATTGAGAGCACAATCTCGCGGATTGTGAAGCAAAACATTGATAGCAAAGTACAGCCAGTCTCATCCCTCACGTGGGCCAGCATCTTGACAACCCTTGGAGATGGAATCAGTCTAGACCAAGCCTTAGCTCGTTACAATGACCATCCTGAAGTGCAATCATTCGAGGGTGAAGGAACAGGCTCAATAACTCTCGACGGCAGAAAGCGGCAGGCAAGGGGTTTTACAGCAGTCTTTGACTTGTTCGGCTGGTGTGTGTTTCTTGGTGGGAAATTGCGTTTTTTCAATTGTGAGAGAAGGGAGAAACATGTTGAACACAATCAATACCTGTCAGGCAGTCCGGAACCTTTTCAGCAAGACAGCTGCCAGCGCATTCAACGTGTTGCTAATGAGCACACATGACATCTCATGGAACTATGGCCCCTTCGGTGAGACCGTGGCTTCCTACCCGTTTATTTTTATGGGGTCAGTTTGCAGCTTGGAATCGGGCCCGCCGCATGATGATGAAATGGCCGCACCTCTTGCGCATGAGCCCACCATCTCGATTGATTGGAATCTTCCAATGACCGAGTCTGCTCAATGTATGTTGTTCAAGAGGATTTTGAGCCACTGGAACAAAACGACCAGCAGCTTTCCAACAGCGATGAAGAAAAAATACAGGATGTCAGCTGAAGAAATGCAAAAGGTCAGGAACTTGATGGTTTTGGCAGACCAACTCCTACCTCACATGCAATCGCGAATGAGCTCCGAGAAGGCAAAGGAGTGGGAGAGCAATGTGCTTTTCTCAACCAAGCAAGATGGTGATTTGCAGTGCCTTTTGAACCACAGGCCTCCGCGATTTGCCATGTCCATGCTGGCCTCTCAGCAAGAGTTCGCAAAGCGAGATCATCAGGAAGCAGAGCAGAAGAAGGTTCAAGACAAAGAAGTGCAGCAAGCTGAGGTTGATGCTGCTCAGTTCAAATTCTTCTGTGGCGCCTTGAAGAGAGATCACTCGAAGATGGAGCTGGTGCAAGCTGCGCCTCGATTGGTGCGACAGCGCTTGCATAGCAAATCAGTTGCTCATCGTGCGAAGCTCGCAGCTGAAGGTGAATCAGCCTGCAAGGGATACCAGGAGAGCAGTTGACAAAAGGTTTGACAAAAGGTTGACAAAAGGTTGCGCTGTTGAAGAGATTTCAGATTTCCTTGTCATTGTTTCATGCTTCAGGACTGTTACCTTCGAGTGGTTGCCTTGGAGAAGATGGACCATGCAGCTGGAGAGATATCAAAAATGAAACAGCACGTTGTAGCTTGGCAAGATCCAACATTGGAATTGGGATGATCAAAGTTATTGAGTTGATTTCTTTCAGTTCCCAACCAGAACTTTTTGCCTTTGGTGGTGTTTGTTTATCAATCAGTGACCACAAAATAGAAATGGATGCATGCCCAACTTATGCGAGTCCGATTGGACATAAGGCGAATCAGACCAACACGAATGCTGACGATGTCCATATTGTGGGCTTCGTTGATTACAACGCACCCGGAGCTCGGCAAGCGAGCAAAGCAGACAGCTTGGCTCATGGTGTGAGTTTGTGCAACGACATGGGAATCTCAAAAAACAATGTTACAATGATTCTCATGCCGGACCTCCCAAAAGACTCCAGCTTGCGAGGTTTGTACGACGAGGAAAGACAAATCATCGAGGGGCTCTTCAGCCAGCGCCAAGACGTCGAAACGAGGTTTGTGGACCTGTTCACACGAGAGCCGAGAGGGGAAGCTCGCTCATCAATGCGACGATGGGCAGCAGGCAGACTCGTGGTGGCTTCGGATTCGAGGTCAGAGAACATTTGGTTGAGTTCCGAGCTGGCAGTATGCGGCAGACCAGTGGGGCACCATGAGTCTGAGAAAGGGGCACCGTGTTCGATGTTGCCGAGGAGCAGCGCTTTGCTACTACCTGAGAATGCTAGTCCGGAACATGACCTCAAGCTAGCGGAGCGAACACGCCCATCGCCTGAGCAAACTGCAGCCCAGAAGGGCCAGCAGCGTTTGCAGTTGCTTTTGGAATCCTTGTTCCGCCACACTTCTGTGAGCAAACCTTGCCTGATTGTCAACATGACTGGCTACGTTGAGGAGTTGGCTGCTGCGGCCCCCCGAATTAAACCAGCACCACTTTGCGCGATGACATCATCAGAATTCGTGTTTGTATTTGAATAGATTTGTTGGCGCTCACAGAATAGACATGTTAAATCATCCAGGTCCATATTAAGCATATTTGATATTGTTTGATGCAATAAAATTGACAAATCAAGTATAAACTGAGGTATTGAACCTGAGACTTCAAGGGCAGCTGACCGGCGATGGCGGAGGGTACGACTGGGAGAACTTGTTCTATTTGTCCCTACACACGCTCGATTCGAAGACAGGTGTGTGCTACGCTCGGACTCGGGTAAGTCGTGAACTTTTAGATGCCTGGCTCAGCAAGAAGATCAGCTTCAACGGGAAGAAGTTTGAAGACTCCAATGTGACCCTCAGCGATCAGGACCCTTGCGTTGCCTGTCCGACTTCGTCTATTCCATTTTTGTTGTAATTTCACGCCTTGCAACTGAGAGGCATGTTCCAAGTTGTGTGCAGTTGTTCTTCACGGTTTGCGTTCAGCATATGAATATTTTACAAATACAACTATTCAACTTTTGTTCAAAAGAGAGTGAATTCATTGCAGCTGAGAACAGGAAATGAAGGAAATCCCAGGGGGAGAGTCTGTGAAATCGGTGGATGCTATGAATTTGGAGGTGTTGGTGAGGGAAGGAACAAAATTGGTGATCCATCCTGACCAATGTCGCCAGTGGCAGTCCAAGGGCGAGAAGTATGCTGAAGAGTTCAACAGCCTTCGCGAAGAACACGCGGCCAAGTATGAGAGCATGCTGACTACAATCATTCAGCAGTCTTCAAGTGCTGCCTCCGTCTCCACACCTGCAGCGGTAACTGCTGCTGCGGCTGAAGCTGAGGATGATGCAGGTGATCCTGCGCCTGAAGCTGCTGAGGAAGAGCAGCCTTTGGTCACCTTCGAGTCCCTTGAGAAGTTGCAGGCGGCTGACCCCGTTGCTGTCAAGGTTGTATCCGAGATTGCCGGTGTGGAGCTCATACGAACCAACTCCAAGAAGATCTTTTTGTACGCAGAAAAGGCGAAGGCCATTCCACGCAATGCCATTTTGGGTGGATTTGGCACTGGGAAGCAGCTCGCCTAAGATTCAGACGCAAGTCGCGACTAGGACTAGGATCTGACATTGGCCAGGACACTTGGACTTTGTTTCAAGATCTCAGTATACCTTTAAGCGCAACCATTGTAAATTGAATATGTGCACAGTAAATAGTTAAATTTGTGATATGGATTGATAGGTAACATATATATATACATAAATATATATATATATATAGATATATTAAAGCAGGGTAAGTGTTTCAAACAGACTCCCCTGCCCAGGTATGTTCCGCAAGAGGAAGATGGGGAAGGCCTGAAATTCAGTTGGCCTTTGGGGGACAAGACTCTCGTGCAGGTGGACCACTCAAGCATCAACCCGGAGCAGAGTCACCAGGAGGTCATGAGTGTTTACAGGCTCCTGACCCTCTTGGAAAGAGTAAAGAAAATCACCGAATACAAAATCTCGTACACAGATTGCGCAAGAACAGCAGGCGGGGCACCTGGGCCTTCTACAGATGCTTTCAAGCTGGTCTTGAAGCAGCCGCACAAGTACAAGAGTGTGCCATCAACATCCGAGAAGGCGTCAGCGAAGTCGTTCTTTGGGGTCGGAGGTGGCATGACGGCTGTCGAGAATAGCAGTGTGATTGGGAAAGTGTTCCGTTTTAGATTTGAGCGTGTGACAAGCACGATCAAGATTCAGAAACCATATTGCATGGCGTTGAAAGCTTTGTCCCTAAAGCCTCACCAACCCGTGCAGATCGCGTAGTGTCCGATCCCCAACCTGGCTCAACTTCAACTAGTTGTATGATGTTACCGCACAATAGTTGCAGTATGTTACAGTTACAGTATTGTCGAAATTGTTGTAATCCTAGACTCCTAGACACAGTATTCTGCAAAGTGTTCCGTTGATGTAAGCTCGAAGCTATGTGGGGATGTTCTCAATAGCGTCGGCTGGGGCCCAACATCCAAGTCTGAAGTTCAGTTCACGGTATGTGGATTTCCTTTCCTGTCCAGAATCTAGAAGATTGTTTGCTTCAATGTGGCCTTGGCCGTTCGCAGACTGGCAGATGCAGCTTCCTAAAAAGCCATGCAGGGCTTCGCTTTGCTGTGTACAGATTTCAAATGATCATTGTTCGCTCGATGGTTTCACTCTCTCAAGTTCATTGCTTGGGAATTGTTTTGGCTTGAGACCAAACGAGTTCATGTCAAACCTGTAGTAGTACCTATAGTTTTAGATTTGTTCAGCTCATGGCGACCAAGAAAACAATGTCTTGGCTGGAGAAGCACCGGGCTATGCGTAAGCGAAAGGTTGCCGAACAGCACTACAGGATCGAGCAGAAGGTGCACATTCAATTGCACCGAATGACCAAACACATTGATCTTGACTTGGATCCCATGTGGAACTCAGATGACTCTCCTCCTGTTGATCTACCAGATGTCACAAATGGCCTGAGTGATCGCTTTTCTTGAATCTTGCTCGTCATCTTTGGTGGCAATGCATTAACTACGTGTGAGCGCAAGCCTTTTCACGTGTCACAGTAATTTTATCTCGAGACAGCGCATGGGGTGTGGGTCAAAACATTGGTTCGATCCATGATCCATGTCCTGAAACTAGACTACTCCGATTTTGTGTAGCTAAAGTAAGAAGATTGATAGATGCGTTTCAGTTTTCACACATCACCAGCAAATAGAGTAGAGCAATTCCAACGAGTATGTAGGCCCTCAGTCTTTGTGGCCTCACCTGGATGCATAATAACAGAGTGCTTTCAATGTTGGCCTCAGAGTCTCAACAGCTCTTGCCTGAGTTTGTTTGTGAACCACAAAGCATTTGGTTTCAAAGCACTGCGCGCAACCACAGTGCTATTTTGTGTGAGTGAAGCAGAATGATGTCCAATGCTGCGATCATGGCCTTTGCAGCTTTCCAGGATGCTTGCCTCACGCACTATGGCGGGGAGGTGGAGAACCAAATGGAGATGATCAAAGAGTTCGGCATCAAGATCGTGCGAACATGTGGCGTATGGGGCTCCACTTTGGCATTGGCAAAGCTTGCAGCTGGAAGCATTGCAGTCCGAGCCATGCCATCATTGAATGGTCCGTTGGATCCACGCATCGATCTTCGTTCTTTGGCTCCAAACCCCGACGAATATGGTCTCCATCAGTTGGTTCAGTTGGAGAAAACAACAAAAGAGATGCTTACTTTTGAAAGCAGAAACCTTGTGGGTCTTTTGGAGACGTGGCTATGGGAGGGGACAATCTCCAACGAAGAGCTCTTCAAGACGATGCATGAAGCACTCTTGAGTCTTAAAGATATAGAGCACATTTTGCGCATGGACACAGTTGGGGCCAACTGATCGTACAGATGCCTTCGAAACCAACGACTTAGACTCCAGACTGCGGACAAAATGCTGGCCAAAAAAGAAACAAACAAGTTAACAGCGACTGTTCAATAGAATCTGGCACAGAGTCTCAGAGTTGAAAGACCCGGTCATTTTCATTTGATTGGTTCATTTTCATTAAGTGCTTCAATAAAATGCGTTGGTTCACTTGTCAAGTCCATTTTCATTCCAAATCATTTGAGGTTCAGCTTAGATATGCTTAGATCAAACCGGTTTGAATCCTCGGCATACTCCTGGACATGTCTCAGTCTGTTAGCCATGAGCGACTGCGGAAATCGATCTTGCAGAACATGATGGCGAACGACAGTTTTGATGGAGACTTGCAAGACTCACCGTCACACAAAGCCCGATGCGAAGCAGACTCCAACGCCGCTAGAGATTCGATGGCTACTTGTTTGGCCTCCAGGTTTGAGGCGGCTGCTGGAAACCCACCTGGGGCCTCACCTGAGGCCACGCCTGAGGCCCTACTGATGACGCCTGCTGATTCCTTGGTCGCGGCAGATGCTGGGGCAGAGTTTGCGAAGAATTCTGCTGAGTCCTTGGTCCCGCCAGATGCCGAGGAGTTGTTTTATGAATCCGATCCTGAACCAGTGAAAAAGCGACCTGCAATGAAGCGACCGGCCGCGAGTCCTGCCGCGAGTGCTGCGCCGAGCGCTGCTGCGGATGCTGCTAAGCCTGAGGACAAGCATGCTGCGGAGCCTGAGGCGACCTGCGACGCCGACGAACCTGCTGGTGAATCATCTGCTGCTCCTTCGAAGAAAGCAAAAACTCTTTTCCCACATGCGGACTACACCTACACAGACAAGTCCGGTGACTGGAAGGCACGTGTTCGGGATCCTGTCTTTGGGAAATCGTTCTGGTTTGATGGAAATCAGTTTCCAATGTTTCCATGCGCGCATTGAATTAGCCTTCATTGCGCCAATGGTTCTCTCTCTCTCTATATATATATTCTATTATATATATATATTCTATATATATATAGAAATATATATATATATATATGTACATACATAGTATATCCGTGCGAACTACAATTCTGTTTATTTACATGATGTTTCGCATTCACCCAATCGTGAAACACATTTTTTGCATTTGTTCCCTGGAGGTGTTTACCATTATTATGGTTGGTTTTTTCCCTCATTTTACCAGTTCACAGCAAGTTTCACTATTATAAATACCAAAGAAACGGTAGAACTTGTTTTGCACCTACTCTCCAGTTTTGCACCTCTCCAGGTGTTTGTTCACACTCGCAAGAACGGCGAGTTGAAGGAGCAGAAGTGGCGCATTTGGCTGCGTCAGCCGAGTGGAGTGAGTTACAAGTCGCTCAAAACGGCTTTGGCTGCCGGTTTTCCAAAAGATGCCCTGGACCCTCACAAAAAGTGATTCGAACAGTGGTCACCGAGAGAAAAGGATGTCATCATGATCGCTTTTTGCCAGCTAAGTTTTGCAAGCTAAGAGCAGAAATCAATGTTAAGTGGTTCTATCCACAGTTCTGCCGTCCCCACAAAAACTCAAAACACAAAGCACACTCGCGTTCACAAACAAACATTTACAGATGAGTGAACCAATTTGGTGAAAGGATAATTGGAATCTACACAGATGCCCCTTTGGTTCATTGCTCACTGACCACTTCAGATGCAACACTCCCCCTGCACACTCCCAAAATCGTTTGCAAGTCAGTGCACATGGTTTGATTGGTCAACAGCAATGAAATCGCCTGCCAGGAGATCTGAGCAGTTAATACCGCATGCCACGAAATATGCACAAGTGGTGCGCCTGCCAATGTGCAAGTCACCAGCGACAGTTTCAAGTGACTGTATTTAATGTGCAAGTAGCCAGCGAAAGTTTCAAGTGACTTGACACGCCATGCAACCCAAACTTAGCGCATGCAGAAACTAGCCCAAAGCAGGCTCCTGGATTTGAATGATATTAGAAGACACCAAGTCCCACGAAACCACCAAGTTTCAGGAGAATAGATTTTTGACAAGGAGGCGCACGCTTGGGTTGCTCTACATGCTGAAAGTGGTTCAGTTTGGTGGAGAAAGAGTCGGTGAAGAAGAATACAAAGAACTTGAGCATCGAGAGCAAATGAAGAAAGGAATGAAGAAAGTGATGCAAAGCAAGGATCTTCGTGTGGGGCTACTGATGATGATGGCCACCATGGATCAAGCTGCCGGCAACAAAATTGGAGAAGAAAAGAATGAGGACGAAGGATACCAATGGATTGTGTTTTTGGTGCTGCGCACTTCTAGGAGCCTTGGGCCTGATGAACTGGCTACGGCAGCATGTCCTCAAGAGGATGATCCGCTGGGCATGGGACTATATGACTCCCATCACGGCGACAGTGGTTCAGGAGATTGAGAACTACATGCGAGATGGGAGCAGGAAAGTGAACAAAGAGACACAAGCAAATTGCCAAGCGGACCTTGAGGCATGGACAAGATGCCAGAAGGAGAATGAGGACTTGAAGGTCAGACTGTTCCAGCTCGACGCCTACATTGAAGAGTTGGAGCAGACAGTCCAAGAAGTGAGGGATCAAAGGAACATGGCTTTGGCAGAAGCCCACCTCGCTTCAGAACACGGACTACAGTTGATGAGACAGAGTCTCACATATAGAGTATGTAAAGGAGGCAGGAAGATTCATTTTAGGAACACCTGCCCGCATGTTCACGCTGCAGAGCATTTGGAGATGTGCAGCAAATGTGTACATGCCCACGAGTGATGGGGCCGTGTTGCAGTTTCATGGACGGTCACTCGTGGATGACACGCACAAATCATGTGTGTACCGCAACTTCACATAAGGCTCGAACTGAGAAAAGATTCTCACTTTTGCTTCGCATAATCTAATCTAATCTATCTATCCATTTCTATCTCCACTTCCAAGTTCCCAAAGTGCTGCACCTGCCACGAAATTCGCACTTCAAGGTCCACAAAGTACTGCACTTGCCACTAAATCAGCACTTCAAGGTCCACAAAGTACTGCGCCTACGACGAAAACTACACTTCGAGGTCCACAAAGTACTGCGCCTGCCATGAAATCCGCACATCAAGGTCCAAAGTACGGCGCAACGAAGCACAAACAATCAACAAAATTTTTGAAAAAACTCAAACAAATATCCGCAGCCGTTGGCGGCAGTCAGCTCTCAGCAATCTCATAACTGTAACCAGGGAGGAGTCACGTAAAACAAGTGATCACTGACACTTCCCTGTTACGGGTCTATGCTCAACGCGCCCCGTGGGGATCACACACTAGACCTCAGTGGGACCCGGTTGCGGAGCGCACTTAGATCCATGCTCGCAAGAGCTAAATCAGTTTGTAAAGTCCCGAGAGCCAGTTACCGATTACATTCGACCGCTTGCTCAACAGTTG